TAGAGGAACAGAAATGGACACTAAGGAGGGTCTCACTTTTGAATGCCGGAAAAGGAACCTGAAATAAGAAGCCATAACATTGGGTAGACCAGGAACGTGAGAGCTTCTGTTTCAAGTGGTGACAATGAAATTTTTCCTGAGAAATGAAGTAAATTTGGATTTCTGGGGGTAAGACAACCAGGTTCAGCTTATATTGAAATAAGAACAGAAGTGACTTAAGAGAATATATAAACTTCTCTAAAGCTGAATGGTGGGTGGTGTAGAATTGAACAGGGTTCTTTTAAAGTATTTTTTTTTAAGATTTATTTATTCATCTCAGAGAGAGAGAAGGGGGATGGACAGAGGGAAGGGGAGAGAGAGAGAATCCTGGTGAGCACAAGCCTGACATGGGGCTTGATCTCACGACCCCGAGATCATGACCCAAGCTGAAATCAAGAATCAGACACTCAACCGACTGAGCCACTCAGGTGCCCCCAAATAAGCAGTTTTATAAACAGGATGGATTATCACATTTTAACAAGGTATTTTGAATTCTGTATCTGTTCTATGTGATTGCGATGACCTCCCTGGGTAGAGCTAATGCAGCAATACCTCCTCTACCTCTGCTGATGTTGAATGCATTGTCCCCCATTATAATTTGGATCACATACCAGAGGATTTTTCAATTGTCTGCACATCAGCTTTCAACCGTCTACATATCAAGTATTTTTCCACTGAGGACACATTAATCTGTCTCCTCCCTCAGCTCCATAGAAACTAATTAGTGACTTAGTGGGGTGTGAAGTTGTCACACTGGAAATTAACATGCTTTCTGTATTACCTGGATTTAACTCCTTGAAAAGAAATTACCCAGAGTCTTCAACTGGTGTGACATTGTTCTGAAAACTAAGGATCTCGATCCCCTTTTTAATTCCTTCTTTTTTCCTATGTTCTCTGTGTCTGGTACTCCTCCCCTCTGAGAGATACTATTGGGTGTCCTGGCCCCCTAACTAGAGAATTCCTGTCTGAAATCCATGATCTGTAAGGTCAAAGTGACAGGCGTCCAGTTGCCATGCTGTTTGAAATAACCTGATGCCCTTGGCTAAAGTTGAATTTTCCAAGAGGATGTTCTTGAATAAAATATCATTGCACTGTTTCCTGTTTTCTGGATTTGTGATCTTACACGAGAAAATGTCAAGATGGCCCTTCGCAACATGGCTGGAGGACCGACATTTGAATGTGTAATCTTTGGCTCGCTATGAGATCCAAAAACTGGAAAATACAATTTATAATAATGGGAAGAACAATGAAGCCTACAAGGTGGAAAGAGAAATAAGAGCTGTCAAATTAGTCATGTCACAGTTCCAGGACATTCCACTTTGTTCCTGAGAAATTCCTGCCTTCTGGTTTTGGGGTTCTATGGGACATACACTGAGCCTTGCAATATATTCCCATTTGGCTAACAAGAGTTAGCTTGTTAGTTTCTGTTATTTCCTTCCAACCTAGTATGCCAGCTGCTTCCTGAGCCAGGCCCAGGATGTTTGTGTATTAAGATTTACTAATATTTAACACTGTGGATTCACTGCTGGCACAAAAATACACGGCTGAATCCTGCAGCTCTGTACGCTCGATCTCTAGGCTACAGGGTGAGTTTTTTGGACACAAGGCTAAAAATCTCTGCGTGGGCATCCCTGTTTTATCAAAGACAGCGTCATTCTGGAAAGAAATCAAGAACTTGAACTCTTTTGCTGGGATCTGCTGATACCAGAAAACATAACTATGTCCTTTTATTGGGACACATTCCATTTTTGCTTTTTGTCCTTTCCCTTTGACCAGATGTCCTGGAGTCTGCATGACTTTTGCATTGAGGGTGCCTGGGGAGAAAGCAGACAGAAGTTAGAGGCTTAGCCCCTGAAGGAGTCTGGTGACAGGGACAAGAGGCTCAGAGTTGGGAGCTGACAATTCCAGAATGGGAGCTTACCTGTACTCAGGAGCCAGAGGACCAAGGAGCAGATGAACACTGGGCACATGGCAGCATTACAGAAAGAATAGGGTCAGGTGGCTTTCTCTGAGGCTTTTTCACGCCCTGTAACCAGCTACTCTGTGACGTCATCACTTCCCCAAACCCAGTAGTCTTTGGTGTGCTGCTCTGTACAAGTAAAAAACCAAAAAATTAGAATATATGAAACAACTTGTACTCAATCATTAGAAAACAGGCAATGCAGGACTGTGATTATTCTAAAGTAAGAAAAAAAGAATGTCCACACCTGGTGAGGGGGAGACACAGAGGCTGGCACGTTTTCCTAGTTGAGAAGACAGAGGTTATAAGTGAGAGGGAACACAGAAGCTGGAATCTGTGAGGGAGACGACCAGGGAGGTGGAACCTACACAGAACCCCAGAAATATTCAGAGCGATCATGATGAAGTTTTGTCTGAACAGGAATTTGTGTCTGTGTGGGATGAAACTTTAAAATACACTAGAGACAAACCACAGAGAAAAGATTCACCCGCATGCCCAGAGTAGCCGTGGCTTTGTCAATGAGACAAAATGACCCTAGAGCAAGTGATGGTAAATGACAGCCCAGGGCTGGCACCTGTTTGCGTACAGTTTTACTGGGGTGAAAAGCCCTCTGGAGATCAGAGGGGGAAAAAAACCTAACTGCTGGACATTTAGAAACAACCATTTCAAGTCTCTGAAAGTTGCCCCCAAAATATACAGCAAATGAAGAAACACTTATTCAAGAAAATCTAAATCTCAGTAAGAGCAGTAAGGCTCTGGGGCATTTGAGTCATGCCTCCCTGCCTCTTGCATCACCTCTAAGCTCAGTGAGATGGAAGCTCTACTCCTTGTGGATGTGGTTGAGGACTCAGCTAAATGCCCTGCATGACTGACAGACCCAAGCTTGGCATCTACTTCTTGGAGGGCCTGAAATAATGCTTCTTCCTTAGGTGAGTTCGGGGCCTCAGTAGGGGTCACAGTCAGTAGTAAGCTCCAGTGAAGGAACCGTCAATTCCAGAAAATAGCTGGTGCCTGTAAGCCTGTTTGATGGTCCTGGATTGTCACAGAGGTGCTTCTCTTACAAGATGTCTTCATTTGGCTGCTGGGAAGTGAAAGCCCCAAGCATAAATGGGAGAGAGCAGAGGAGGTTGCAGCTGCGACGAGAAACAAGCCACTCCTTCCTGGACAAGTGGGATCGTGTGGCACCCTTCCTTCTGTGACTGGATCAGGTCCCTCAGCACAATGCCCTTGAGGTCATCCATGTCATCACATGTGGCAGGACTTCCTTCTTTTTCAAGGCTGAATAACATACCTGTGGATGTGTACACCATATTACGCAAAATTTTAACAGGGTAGATCTCATGTTAGGTGTTCTGGCCCAAAATAAAATAAAACAAGACACTGCTCACTCTTGCTCCCCAACTCTTTTCAAACTCCCAGAGCATCCAACACTGTGGTCTTCTGTTTGTTTTCCAACTTTTTCCATCAGATGCTCCTGAGATTTTAATTTCCTCCTTCCCTAGGTGTGTCCTCACACTCTGCGTGACCCTACCTGCTAGAGAACGAGGCAGTTCTCTACTGCTCTGCGTAGCTACAGCCAATCACACTCCCTTCCACATCTTCCTCCCTCTCTGAGGATAAGGATCAGATCAGTCACATGAATCAGCAGAGCATCTCTATCTTCAGCCCCGGGCCCCATGTTTCATCTGGGCCTGAAATGAAGTGGGTCTTTGCTCTTAATTTCTCTCCTCCCTTTATTCAAGAGGATGTTGGGTGCTTTACATCATCTGAAGAGGCTCTAATCTGCCCCCCTGGTTGAATTCTTTTGCCATTTGTCTCAAGGTGCATCAATTTCCTAAACATGGTCATGGAGTTGTGGCTCCATGATCCACAAGAAAGGAGGGGAAGGGAGGGGCCCCAGAGACATCTAGCCCCAATATCTCACTTTACAGTAGAAGATTTTGAAACATAGGTGGAAGCATAGAGACACTGCTCTCATCATTTGTGAGGAAAAGGGTATGGGCGTGTGGTGAGCAAAAGATAGAAAAAGCAGATCACTGTAGTGTTGGTGGGTGGCCCAGATGACAGCGTTTAGCTTCTCTGAATTTTACTTAATTACCATATCAGATCTTGGGTAGTACTTCTCGGCCTCTTGATTAAAGAGTTGGACTCATGTGATGTTGTTGATCACTATACAAGGAGAAGTGATGAACCACTGCTTAGTAGGAACATCTACGTGTTCTTCAGAATTAAAATGAGGACACAGTTCCATCCTCTGAAGCAGGCACCCCACAGCCAGCAGATGCCGGTCCTTTCCTGAACTGATGATACCTGCGTTTATTCAATTGGCCATCATGAATACTTCAGTCTCTGAAAGGCCATAAGATAAAAACTTCCTTTTAGAAAGCTGTTCTAATACATTCCAGAAACTCTTTTTGTTTCAAACAAGTGGCAGTACCTGATTTTTTTATTAATATTAAAAATGCGGGGCAAACTCTAGTAATTTTAATATGTCTTTTAAAGCACCACATCTAGTTTGGGATATGCACCCTATCTGTGTGCCACTTAAATGGTTCACAGGCAAATTTATATCATGCAATATAGTTAAATACACTGTGAATAATGCATGAGCCAGGCAGTTCATTCATCTTCACATCTGGCACACATTTTTGGCAGCTCTAATTTTCCCTACTTGACAAGAAAACCGTGAAATCTCAGTAAGGCCTCTGAGAGCACTTTCCTCCCCTTAGAGCAAGGATTCATGAGAGCGGGCCCACCTCTGGTCTGGGTGGGCTGGCCCTTTATCATATTTCCAGGTCTCCAACTTACATTAAAACAAAAACCGACTAAAAGGAACTTCCTATTTCTGTTCTGAAGAGAATAGAATGGGTGACTAAGGCGATCCTGGGAAAATACCACAAACTGAACGGCAGGTGAGTGTGACCACTTTTCCGCTCTTGGCGGTTTTTGTAGGTTTTTGCCCAACTTCTGTCTAAATGATGTGATGACAGCCGTAAACCCACTATTGTTGGGTTTCTACTACTGTTGTAACATCAGAGCTGGGGGATGGTCTAGAGAAGGATCTTGGATCTGGGAAATGCAGAAGTTTATGCACAGGGGAGACATAACACTGTAGCTCTGTGTCTTTACTGCTGGCACAGAGGTACACTGCTGAGTCCCCCAAGCCTGGTGAGCGGATGCTAAGAGAACAGAGAGAATTGCTGAGCCGGCTGGGTTGGAAGTTATCGGAGGTGTCTGTTTCTTTGGTAAGTTCTGTATCATAGTAGTAGAGCAGCAGCTTTGGTGCTTGTCTCAGCTTCTGTTGGTACCAGTACATGGCATCATGATTCAGATTCTGAGAACAGTTCAGAGTCACTGGTTTTCCCACCTTAGTAACCTGGTATCTTGGGCTCTGGATGACCATGGCACCCATGTGACCTGTGGAGAGAGAAAGAAAATTTAGAGGCAGAGTCAAGGAGCCTCTTATTGCTGCCATAAAAGAAAGGTACAAAACTGAAGACAATATCGTTTTACTCAAAGATTTCCTTCTGACCAAAACTCACCTGCTCCGAGGAGACAGAAGGCCACGCAGTGGAGGAGCCCGGGACCCATGGCAGGGCCACAATAGGAATGGGGCATCTGTCTGTTCCAGATGCTGATCTCTGGGTGGAAAGATGGGGGTTCAGGGTCCCCGGTCCCTGATAGGTAGATCTGCCTGTGATGACAATCTGCTGTTGGCTTCACCAAGGCAAGCGTCACTCTTTGTTGGGTATTACCCCCAGCTTCCGGCTTGGCAGCAGAACCTGGGCTTGGCCGATCACGTGAGCGGCAGAGGTGGTGTCACCTCGTATTGCCTCTCTTCCTGTATCTGCCCCCTGTTCATCCAGGCCTCTTTATCTCACTCCTCATTTCTTATACCCTATATGGCAGGTCAGAGGTTCCTCAACACAGGAAGAGCTTTTGCTAAACTAACATTTACAAACCTGTTAAGTTAGTGTCTTTGTGTCTTGCTCTCTACATCACAGATGAGTGATGATGGCTGCAAACTATCCCCACCTTAATACCGAATTCAAGCCTGAAATCCCTCTATTTATTCCCACACTTCAGAGGATCAAGGACACTCTACAACTTCCAGCTATCAGTGACACCACAATGCCTCCTTGTGGCCAGTAGAAAAATGTGTAGAAGCCTCCTTCCTGCAGTCCTTGGATTTCCAATTCAGACTTTGGAACTCAGGGTACTCACCAGGCTCTGCCTGGGTTTCCTTCCTGGGCCCCATCATGCCTGCCTCCCCCCCAACACCACCTCCAGGTAGCAAGGTGGATGCTCAGCCTGGTTGTTTCCAATCTCTTGCAGATTGCCATCGTTTGTTGCCTGATTCATAATGTTTTGAAAACTGTTGTTTCATGTACTATGCCTGTTTGTTTTAGCTGTTTCAAGCAGGAAGTTAAATCAGGTTCCTGTGAATCCGTCTTGGTTGGAAGCATAAGTCCACTCCAGGGCCATATTGAATTTCTTACTGTTGGGTCCCTAAGAGTTTCAATGGTTATAGACCTTTTTGTCAGTTTCTTTGCATGTGGTTTCCATTTCATACAAGAAGGGTAGCATTTTATTCCATAAGCATATAAGGCACAGTCCAGAATTCCCATTTCTCTCTGTTAACTTTTCCCTTTCATCTAACACATAAGGGCCTGACCAAACACCCAATTTTCTGACTGCATTTCAGGGTCTTCATATTGTAGTAACTTTTAGTCTGTAAAGTCTGTGACCATTTGGAGGCTCCAGGATGAATGCAGATGTCATTATAGGTCCTGTGTCACCTCTGTCATATGGGCACTGAAAAGCCAGCCGCAGTTGTGAGGCCTAGGTCTGGCCTGAAACCTGGGAGGTCCCTATAGCATTGGCTCTTCCTTGCTCTGCCTGTAAATTCTCTTTTTTAAATTCTAACTACTAAATTTCTTTTTCTTTTTTGATTACCTATACATTGTGTAGGAGGTGAGGGGTATTTCAAATTTAGAAAAAAAAATGGACTACCTTCTTCCTGTTCTTCCTCTGTAGCTTCATCCCAAATAATCAGGGGTACATTTTACGACTTCCTCCTTCCTTGTACAAACATGTAAAGTGTATATAAACTTAAATAAGGACTTCTACTGATTTTTATTTTATTTTTTTAAAAAAGATTTATTTATCTATTTGAAAGAGAGCAAGCATGAGTGGGGAAAGTGGCAGAGAGAGAGAGAATCCTAAGCAGACTCCTCGCTGAATGGGGAGCCGACACGGGGCACCATCTCATGACCCTGAGATCATGACCTAAGCCAGAATCAAGAGCCAGACGCTTAACTGACCAGGGGCCCCTACTGATTTAATTTTTCTTAAAAAAACCTTATATACTATACATTATTATGTAAATTATGTTCCTCTTGACAGTTTTTCTTAATCATCCCTGCAAAATAAAAGATGAATATACCTGCTTGGTTTTCTTTTAACCTCTTTGTGCCTGTGAAGTGAAGCGTAATACACATAAATGAGATCAGATCATACATTCTAGGAACATATAAGTTTTTTTGATGCTTTTGTAGTCATCAAAAGCTTAACTGTGGTTGGGGGCACCTGTGTGGCTCAGTTGGTTAAGCATCTGGCCCTTGATCTCAGCTCAGGTCTTGATCTCAGGATCATGAGTTCAAGCCCTGCATTGGGCTCCACACCCAGGGTGGAGTTTAACTTAAAAAAAAAAAAAAGTTTAACTATGATTGATGGATGAAACTAACAAGCAATAAAAAACACCAATTCTTTTAATAAAAGAAAAGTTTATAGGCCTCCTATGTTCAGACGCCTTACAGACCTCAAGACACAGTCTGTAATTGTAATGCTCCTTGGTGAGAGTAAAGAAGCTTTTAGAATCTCTGTGTCACTCAAAGAGGCAGAGAGCAGACATCATTCCCACACCCCCTTCCCCAGGTATGAAAAATATTAATACAGTAGAAGGAGGAGAAGAAAAGTAAAGTATAAAGTAGAGTGTGAAGTGTGGTGAAACACACTTCTGATGTAATAAGCCTAATTGGATTTCGATGTCTGTGTGGCTGTTGCCCTTGGTTCTGGCTGTTCTTTGCTTTGTCCAGGAGGAAGCCTGCTTGTCGAAGCTGGTCTCCTCAAGCTTTCCACACTGGCCCAGGCAGAGTATCTCCCGGCCTGAGCAAAATGCTGGTCAGAAACTGTCCATACATGATTAATGGGGTTCTCGCCTACTGTCCCCTCTCCGAGTACTCCCACTGCCCAGGCAGCCGGGCATGGGCTCCGGCATCTCCTGGTTTCCTCTGTGGTAATAAACGCTTTCTGTGATGGTCTGAAAAAAAAAAAAAACCACAGTAGAGTTGCTGTAGGGTAGCACCAGGGATGAAGGACAGGAGGTTGTAGAAGAGAATAGTATGCTTGAGAGAGTGATTCTGGAGGTGGTTCAAACTATTTGTGATTACGAGTCTAGAATATAAAGAGTGGATGTGAGTATCTGAGATTGGAGGAAATGATCCTTGAAATGAACAAATGGAGAAACTGAGAAGCCCAGTATCATCTAGGTGTTGTAAGCCATCCAAGATGTTAGGAGTTTTAAGGTAAGAGAGACAAGAAATGCTTGAGAAGCAACAATGAAAAGCAAAAGGGACATGAGTGCAATGAAGGTCACTCACAGAAACCAAAAATACCAGTAAGAGGAACTAAATTTCCTACCACTCAATTTCCACTGGGGAGTCAAGATCTGGGAATGGAAAATATAACATTATGACAGATTTGTGGTTATAGGGCAGTATTCACATGATCTTGAATTTCCAGTGAAACTTAAAACACAGACCTCTTAGAGCTAGAAGCCACTGAAGCCTTCTGACTATATTATAACCTTACAGGCATGTGGGCTGCCATTGGAATAGCTGTGAAAAATAAAACTATGGAATTTGAGAACTATCACAACCAGAATGAATTGCAAGTTAATGTCTATGAATTCCAGGCAAAATCCAGAGAAGAGTATGTGGTCCTGAATCCGAGAAGGATATGCCCAGAGAAGCCAGGATGTACATTTGGGAAGTACTTTGAGGGGAGGCATCATTTAGGAACGCCATGTTTTTATGATTCAGGCAGATGGCAGTGGATCCACAGCTTGTGAACAGCTGACATAGCATCAGACAGCAGTAACTATGATGCGTATACTGAAGAGGCAGGCCCCCAGTTGGATGAGGACAGAACAAAACTCAAGTATTTCTAAAGAGTACAGAAACATCCAAAGAAAAAATTATGTGGATCTACCATATTGCTTTCCTACTCTTATGATTCTTTGCATGTGTGCTGTGGAAATAATAAAGTGGAATGTCGCCTGTAAGTTGATATTACTTATATTAAAAATGAATCTTGGGGCACTTGTGTGTCTTAGTTGGTCAGGTGTCTTCCTTCAGCTCAGGTCATGATCTCAGGGTCTTGGGATGGAGCCTTGTGTCGGGCTTCCCACTCACTGGGGAGTCTGCTTCTCCCTCTCCTTTTACCTTCCCCCCAATTCATGCTTGCTTGCTCTCTCTCTCTCTCTCTCTCTCTCAAACGAATGAATGAATGAATGAATGAAATAAATAAATAAATAAATAAATAAATAAATAAATGTGTCAAATGGTGCAGCCACTCTGGAAAATAATTTGGCTGTGTCTTTAAAAAGTAAGAACATACTCACCAGATAACCCAGCAGTCTCACTCCTAGGCATAAATGTATCCCAGAGGAATAAGAACTTACGTCCACCCAGAATCCTGTGCACAAATATTTACATGGAGGATCTTTGTCATAGTCAAAAACTAAAAACAACTAAAATATCCTGCCATAGGTGAATAGCTAAACAAACTCTGGTACGTCCATGCCATAGAACACAACTCGGTGATAAAATAAACGAATTATGGATAAATGCAGCATCTTGGATAAATTGCAAAGGCAATATGCTGAGGAGAAAAAAACTCATCTTAGGAGGTCACCTACTATATGATTCCATTTATAAAACAGTCTCAAAATGAAAACATTATAGATATAAAGAATAGACCAGTGGTTCCTAGGGGTGTGGGGTGTGTGTGTGTGTGACATCATAAAGGGAGACTTTGTGGTGTTGTAACAGGCCTGCATCTTGACAGTGATGGTGGTCATATGAACCTACACATGTGGCAGAAATGACTTAGAACTGCTTCCCCACTCAAGGCCAATGCAACTTTATGGTCTTGGTCTTGATAACTTGGGTACGATTATGTAAGATGTAACTATTGGTAGAAACTGGATAATGGGTAACCAGACCCCTTTGTTCTACTGTGCAACTTCTTAAGAACCTATAATGATTTTTTTAAATGAAAACTTTTAAAAATAAGATGTGGAAAATAATTTTGCTACAATTAAGGAAGACTGTTATAGAAAACTGACAAGAAGAAGGGTTGGAAGAAATGGGAAGGGCTGATTGGGTCTGTAGAGACAATTACACCCACTGGGTAACCATTTTTATGAAGGTGAGAGAAAGCACTGACCACTAACGGAAGAGAACCAAGGCTACGTGACAGCACAGTTTTGAGTTTCCTTAATTATCTGAAAGCCCAGTGGGTGACATTCCCCTTCAGTCTTGGACTCAATCATCCTCTGTGAGAATATGTGAGAAATGCTAGAAACCATCCCCTTATTGTCTTCCTACCAAAAATTTTCTACTGTGATACTTGAGAAGTGTCTATTCGTGCCTTCCCTAGAGACAAGGAGAACACCAGACCCACATCCTTTTGCTGGCGGAGGAAAAGCTATGAAAGACTGCTGAGGACAGCTGGGGGCTGGAGGGAGAAGGGGAAGCTTCCGGGTTTCTGCACAGGGAAGGGGTGTCTCTGCAGTACTGTGTCTACACTGCTGGCACACAGGTACGTGGCTGAGTCCCCAGGTTCTATTGGCTGGATCTTCAGGATGGAGAATAATTTGTCAGACATCTCTGCCGAGAACCGTTCCTTGGGCATCCCCGAGTAATCCACAGGAGATTGATTGTTGAAGTAAATCAGCAGCTTCCATCCCTGCCCTGAAGTCTGTCTGTGCCAGAAGAGGACCGCGTGACCAGAAATAGGCTCGCATCCTAGAGTTACTCCTTGTCCCATCGTTGTCACCTTGTGCATGGGTATCTGGATGACTCCAGCGTCTGTGAACTCTGTGGAAGGGGACAGAATTTGAGGATGGAATAAAGAACATAACTGGAATCATAACTGGAAATATCTAAAAACGCAGATTGGTTATTTCTGGGGACTCACCTCTTCCCAGGAGACAAAGGGTCACACAGCAGAGGAGCCTGGTGGCCATGGCAGAGCTGCCAGGAGGAGACTTCACCCGGATGAGGCCCTTCTGGGCATGAATAGAGGGGAGGGGTGATTAGTCCTTTGCAGTTCCAAAGGTGGAGAGTGACCCAACAGTGATAGCGCTCTCTGTCACTGCTCATGGGACCTCCTTCCAAAGGCGAGCATTAATTCTCCACAGAAGATTGACTAGACTAGATCGTAACTACTCCAGGATGTGGTTGGCTCATTCAGAACACCTTCCTCAGTTGTACCTGTCGCAGTCCTGGGCCTCCAGCACTCTGCCCTCCTGATGCATCACAGATCCACTGGCTGCTGGACATTTCCACTTGGGTGTGCCCACAGCACCACAAATTCTGACATCAATAAATTACTTTAAAATCCCAAGACTTTTGTTATTCCTCTCACAGGCAATCTCTATCTCCCAGACACAAAATCAAAATAATTCCTTGCTTAGTTAGGGCTTTGCCTCAGATGCCTCCCAGAAACATTTTGACTTGGCCACTGTGCTCTTTGGGAAGGGACTTGAATGGAAGCCCTGGGAAGAGAGGATTGTTGAAGATGTTATTCCTAGCAAAGGCGAGAGACCAAAGCCCTAGTGCTGCATGACCCCCTGCTAGCCCACAGCACAGCACTTCCTGTAGTTCCGCATTTCTACACATTGGGGTCCCATTTCACTCCCCTGCTGTGAAGCTCAAAATGGCATTCATCCTTCAGTCGCTGGTATGGGTCATTTATGGTAAATGAGAGCTTTAGCTCTCCTTGAGGATCCACAATAAAGTGCTCCCCAGTTAATCTTAATTTTCTCAAGCCTAGCAAAGTTCTAAAAGGTTCTCCAATGATCAACACCTGAATCTCTTCCTCTACTAAGGCAACTCATACTCACAGGCTCTTGCTGGAGGCAGGGCTTGGAATCTAGGAAGCAACCCGGTTCTTGGGGTATGAATAGTAATAAGATTTCTGTCCATAGAGAAGACGGAACACATTAGTGCCAGGTCTCCATAGTTGGTGCAGAGCTACGCTCCTCCGACTTCCCTAAACGAGTCTGTGAAGGTTACAGAGCAAGGTATGATTAGCCACTTGGAAGTGATGATAGTAATGCTCTAACAGTAGAGAATCAGCAGTGCTCACTCCCTGGTCCTGTGTTTACCTGTTTCAGGGCAGCATCTTGCAGCCGGTGGGTAAAGAAGGCAGGGCTGCATACAGGGCTGCTTACAGGGCTGCATACAGGGCTGCTTACAGGGCTGAAGAGGCCCAATATTAACAGAAATGCATGGAAGGCCCCCTGAGATCAGGGCATAGCGTTCCAGCAGGGATCTCCTTACCTCTGGCAAGGATCAATCTCCACTAGGATATACAAGGTCAAAAAATAGGGAAGCTGTGATCTTGTAACAAGTTCAGAAAGTGAGTGGGCTAACTCCTTAGTGCTCTGATCTTTAGCAGAGAGAAAAGTCAGACTTAAAGTCACTCTAGGCCCTGGTGCTGTTAATGTATTTATGGATTTCTGAAGATTCAGAGCCGCTCAGACTTAGAACACAGTCTGGCTGTTCTCAGGACACTGCCTTAACCCCCTGCCCAACCTCATCCCCCTCAGGAGGATGGGGCCAGGTTGGGATTCCAGCAGCTTCTCTGATGATCCTGGCATGGTAGCTATTTTGTTTTGCTTCTTTTTTTTTTTTAAAGGCCATAAATTCTTGTTTTATTTTTATTTTTTTTTATAAATTTATTTTTTATTGGTGTTCAATTTGCCAACATATAGAATAACACCCAGTGCTCATCCTGTCAAGTGCCCACCTCAGTGCCCATCACCCAGTCACCCCCACCCCCCGCCCACCTCCCCTTTCACCACCCCTAGTTCGTTTCCCAGAGTTAGGAGTCTTTCATGTTCTGTCTCCCTTTCTGATATTTCCCATTCTTTTTTCATTTTTTCTGGTATTTCCCACTCATTTTTTTCATTTTTCTGATATTTCCCACTCATTTTTTCTCCTTTCCCCTTTTTGTTTTGCTTCTTTCAGGACATACAGTTTTATCCAAGCAGCCCCTCATCCCCACATCCTGTGTTGGCTCAGAAGTGCCCACAGAGCATAAACAGATGGCCTTGGGGGCTCATTTCCTAAATTTTCTCAGTAACTTAGCAGAAAGCTGGCTCAGTGATGTCTATTAATTTAGAGAACAAAAGATCCTGTTTTCTATCAAGGCACTTCTTCTATCAGGAAGGGGCTTCCATTATTATGTAGAAATGTGCCTTGCCCTGCCCTTCTCTTCCAGTGCGGGGCAGGGCCCCATTCCGTAGAAAATTGGCCACAATCTTTGCAGTCTACCTTTGACTCACTTAAACACACACCTCTGTGGGTTCATGACACTTAGGTTGGGGGACAGAGGGGATGGGAATCATGTGTGTTTGTTTCCTTCTCAATGTGTCCGTTTTTCCCACGAATCAAATACACAAAACTGTTTTAGTTTGGACTATATGGTGCTACTGTGCTGTGTATATGCAGCCTCTTTGCCTGGCAACCATTCTGGGCTTGCCCGCAGTTCCATTCTCCCTATTGGTCTTAACACATTTGCACAAGAATAGAAGTCTTTGGGTGCTTCCCTTCTCTCTCTAACACTCAGTGTCTGCAAATCAGGGTCACAATTCAGCCACTAAGCTAGAGCTTCTCCCTAAGACCAACTCTCCCAGCCCTTCCCCAGAGCCACTGAATGGAGGTGGAATCACAATGCCTCCTAGTGGCCAGCAGGACAGGGTCACTAGAAATGAGCCTCTCTTGTCAGGACCCAAAGCACCCTATACATGGATACCAGGGCAGAGGGGAGTTATAGCTATTGGTACTTAAGGGGTTCAAAAATAATAACCCCTATTTCTAATATTGAAAACATTTGAGAGAGAAAGATTGAAGTCAGAGAAACTAAAAGCCAAATGGCAGCTTTGGTGCTGGTAAAGGTGTTGCTGAAAGGTGCAGCTCCCTGGGCTCACTAGCATTCCTCTGAACTGAATGGCCAACCCCTCTGACTTCCCTACTGAGTAGAGTCTGCCTACTAATTTTATTGTAATTTTGAGGCAGGGGAACAGAAAGTGTCTTCCCCACAGGCAGACAAAGACAATGCTATGGACTGGAGGGTGGGATCTGAGCTGTAATAATGACTGGAACTGAATTTTTAAATTTCATGTTTGCATCCCGATCCAAGTCATTAATCTTTCTAATACAGTCTTGATGTTATCTCTGTGATCCTCCCTAGCAAGAGATGTAAGATTAACAACATCTAGGTCTTCTAAGACAAGCACTATTAAACAAACATTATATATCTTCAATTTCTTCTGCTGAGTAATCCCATCTACAAGATATTCTCATTGTTTTGTCTGCTTCCCCTATAATATGCCCCATTTTTCCTAAGCTGTTCCTAAGATTCATAATTGTATAAATATATTTATATATTGGAGCTGTCATAGGCACACTCCTTTACAGCACAGGCTATAGCTGACACTCAGAATAATTTAAGTATTTTCCATGGATCTTTCCAGGCATTCCCTTGTCAAAACTGTCCAGATCGTATGTAGCCATTTTTACAGGTGTGGTTCTGAAGACTATTCTCATCTTTTGGGGCGGTGTTCCAAATGGAATGAGTCCTCTGAGATCCTGCACGATTTCCTCTATTAGGCTTCTTTGGATCCAGTTATCGGAACTGCCTTAGTATCAAGAAAACATCTCTCTTCTCTAATAACTCCTTTGGGAGCAGCTGAAAACAAATGCCCTTCCTTTTCCCTTTCAACCTGTCTTTCCTGGCCCTCAGGATCCCCTTTTCCTCTCACATGAGAATACAAAATCTCCTAAGATTTTAGCACTTCTCCCAAGGAAATCTCTTTCTTCCTCCAGTTGAGTCAATCTGTATTTTTGATTTTGTAAATGCTTAAAAAGAATCTGGTCCCAAATTTCTTGTATTTGAATCCCCTTTCCATCATGTCTCAGCTGTATGACTTTTGGAAAATTACATACATTTCTTATTCAATTTCCTTGTCTGTAGCATGGACTACTAGTTGGATAGCTTTGGCTTGTAGTGGAATGCTGTACATATAGTAAGAACCCTATAAGAACTTTCTACTGTAAATAGTCTTTCTTTGTTCCTATCCTGATGGCAAAGAGGAAGGACACATGTAATGTTTCATCCATGCTCTTAGCACCTGAAACTCACTGTGACATTTTGTTTCAGCCACAAAAGCTCTTTTATTTGTCCTCTAAGCTTTTGCAATAATTACGTTGATTGATTTTGGGTCTTCGTGTATACATGATCTAACTTCTTTCTCCCTGAGAGTCTTCCTAATTACTTTTTCTTCAAGGGAGAGGGTCTGGCCAGTTTATGCTTGCTATCACATACAATAAATTATTTCGCTCAGGGAGTTCACCCATACTGATAGTTCACACTCTCTGGCTTTCAAGAAGAGTCTTGGAAATATAAATTCTCCCATGACAAGCCACGTAATTAGACTATTTCAATAGGTATGTTCTTGCTGTCTGAAAGACTTGGTATTAGACTTGGCCTTGTATTTTTAATCTCTTAACAGTAAATGGGAAGTTTTTCAGCAACCAGGATCTCAGAAAATATCTGGACAAGAGTAGCTACCATTTTATAGCTTTCTGTATAATGGAGAGCCCAAGCCTGCAGCTGTGTCATCCAAAATATATATTCTGGCCTTGAATTGAGGAGTAGAGATGGGAAGAAGTCTATTACTAAACCTAAATAAATCTGTTAGATGTTGTAAATGAATAATTCAAATAATCTACATGGCAGATTAAAGTGACTTATCCTTTCTACACGTGAAGCCAAATAGATCTCTATATTACATTTTTGGGAAAGAACTGTTGTTGAATTTATAATTACATGTGCAAGAATTTCCAAGGATAGGTGAATTGGTCTCAGTGAAAGCCAATGATCACAGTTGGGTATGACTCAGAGACACTAGAAACAGTTCATAAGATTTGAAATATAAGCAGGAACTGCAGAGATCATGATTTGTTCAACTCTTAATGAGGCATAACTCTGATCACTGACATTGAACGCAGTGTAACATTTGGCCACTTAGTTTTAGACTATTTAAATAGAGATAAATTATGGCAAATAAAGTTAAGTTTCTCTTTACCACCCTCTTTGGTTCTTTCTTTCCCTCTGTGATATAGCTATTATTTTGGGATAAATGAATCTCTCTTTTGATTTTACACTTTTTTTTTCATATAGGTTTTATTCAAAACCACAGTCAAAATACACGGCTGTAGGTACTGAAATATTTTATGTATTTTTCATGGATTAATTGATCTCTAAAAAAAAAAAAACACCAAGAAAGAGTAGGCACTTCTAATGATTATTCCTGCTTAAAGATGAGAAAATTGAAATGATGAGAGATGAAGTAATTGTGCCCCCAGCGACATACTTAATAAATGTATAAATTATCTGTGTGATGACTAAGTCACCGAGCCTGATGATAGGATGCATGGTGGGGAGAAGTGAATGGGAAGGAAGAAGTAAGTGCAACTCTGAAGGGTCATATTTTGACTCCATATGTGTCAAGGAGCCAGGTTTTAGAGCAGGTGATGGAAATGGTCTGGAAGCAGCAAGAAAGAGCCAGAAGGTCAAAGAACACACTGAAATCAGACACGAAAGCAGATTCTGTCTCAGTGTAAACATGATAGAAACTGAATTCAATCTTTCACTGTTTCCTTTTTTTTTAAATATATATATATATTTTATTTACTTATGATAGTCACAGAGAGAGAGAGAGAGAGAGAGGCAGAGACACAGGCAGAGGGAGAAGCAGGCTCCATACACCGGGAGCCCGATGTGAGATTCGATCCCGGATCTCCAGGATCGCGCCCCGGGCCAAAGACAGGCGCCAAACCACTGCGCCACCCAGGGATCCCTCACTGTTTCCATCTTGAAAGTGAGGACCCCAGAATGGCCAAAGGTAGGATGATGACAAGTGGAATTTGGCTGTATGGCACAACTCATTTAACGTGAATTTCCTTGGGCAGTCAGCATGGAGGTGTCTCTGCGCCAGTTGCCAGAGATGCCCTAATAAGGGCTGAGAAGGGATCAGTATATAAGTTTGTAGAAGAGAGTCATTATAAACATTCAGAATGGATTACAGAATGGAATGGAAGTTCCTAGCATAAATCAAAAATTTATGAAAAATAGGAAAATATAGGTTCAGGACATATGATCAAGAGGAAAGAGGGCAAAATAAGTGTGTCTAAGTCTGCACACTTCTAGATATTCAGTGTGTAGTCTGTATTTATTGTTCAAGAGCAGGCAACTGAGGTGGCCCCATCAGCACTCCAGCTGGCACTCAGCTGTCTACCCTCAGTGAGACCAGGGCTCTCCTTGGGCAGGACAGAGACTAATAATAAACCCCAAGATTCCAGGAGCAGGACCTTGTATTAAACTGCCTGCTTCAGGGATGCCTGGGTGGCTCAGTGGTTGAGCCAGGGCATGATCCTGGGGTACTGGGATCTACTCCCGCATCGGGTTCCCCATGGGGGGTCTGATTCTCCCTCTGCGTGTCTCTCATGAATAAATAAACACAATATTTAAAAATTAAACAGTCTGCTTCATCCGAATTTGAGATGCTTTTTGGACGTAATGAAAAGGCCCCACATAAATGTTACGTTATATTAATGTTAGAAAAGAACGTCCACCATCACAGTGAAGAGGCTTCTGTTACATTCAGAAGAATTTGTGGTGGGCAGGGAAATTCTGTTAACACCTAGTGTTGGAAGAGGATGAAGAGTTCTGAAGACACCCGTTATCAGGAGAGCGTACCATTCAGATGGGGATGGCAAATGCAGGAAGGCAAGAAGATCTACAGGGTAGATCATTAAAGTTTCTCTACATGTGTGGTGAGTTCCAAGCTCACAACTTGTCAAGAATCCCTGAAACCCATTTCCTATGTCATTTCCTACATAAGATTTTCTATGTTGAGACCTTAGCATTTTCTGTCCTGTCAGACCCCCAGAGCCGCTCATTTCTCTTGGTGAAGCAGCAGGAAAGACCTTTACTCAGGACAGCTGGGGGCTGGAGGGAGAAGGGGAAGCTTCAGGGTTTCTGCACAGGGAAAGGGTTGCTCTGCAGTGCTGTGTCTACACTGCTGGCACATAGGTACGTGGCTGAGTCCCTGGGTTCTGTTGGCTGGATCTCCAGGATGGAGAATGAATCATCAGGCATCTCTGCTGAGAACCATTTCTTGGGCATCCCCGAGTCATCCATAAGAGCTTTATTGCTGAAGTAAATCAACAGCTTTGGTTCCTGCCCTGAGGTCTGTCTGTACCAGAAAAGGGTATAATGGCCAGAAGTAGGCTCTCATCTCAGAGTTACTTTTTGTCCCATCATTGTCACCTTGCGCCTGGGTGTCTGGATGACTCCAGTATTTATGGACACTGTGGAGGGGGACAGAATTTGAGGACAGAATTAAAAAAATATTGGAGTCACAACAGGGAAACCCAGAATGAGAATGCTAAATATTCCGGGGACTCATCTACCCCTAGGAGACAAAAGACTCCTAGAAGACAGAGGGCTGGGGTGCCCATGGTAGATATAGAACAGCTGAGACCAGGGCCCTTGTGAGCATGAGCAGAGGTGTGAGTCTGGGGACAATCTATCTCCATTAGATGTATTCTCAGTGACATCACCAAATGGGCAACCACCCCCAACTCAAGAGCTCCCTTCAGAAGAGGCTGCATCTCTGAGACATGAATCAGGCACAACTGAACCCAATTATAGTTGGCCTAAGTTACATATTCATACATCCAGAGTTTCCTCTCAAGTTTATTTTGATATTATCAATCCATAATGCTTTCTCTATACAATCTCTTATCCAGAGTCTGCTAACTGTTCCACGTAAACCTAAACTCCAAGTATTTAGAGATAACTTCATTGTCTCCCTTCAAGCCAGCTTCTTTGCAAGCTCTGGTACTCCCCACAGTGGTGACTACAAGCTCCTGGTCATTGACACATGCTCAAAACCATGCATTAGTTAGGAATTGGGCTCTGAGCTCTCCAGGAAAAACAAGAATACCAACTGTATTGTTAGGGCTCCAGGGGCTGAGCTGATGCCCTGAGAACTGATTCAGCTTGAAAGCTCTTACTTGCAGTGAAAAACCTTTCTGAGGTTATTTATCTGTGAATTCTATTAAATCCTCAAAGCCCGTAGGATAAAAATCTCCCACATTTCTCTATCTCCACCATGAAATAAGTGGGGGATTTTTTTAAAAGGTTATTTATTTATTTATTTATTTATTTATTTATTTATTTATTTATTCATGAGACACACACAGAGAGAGAGAGGCAGAGAGACAAGGCAGAGGGAGAAGTAGGCTCCATGCAGGGAGCCCGATGTGGGACTTGATCCTGGGACCCGGGACCACACTCTGAGCTGAAGGCAGACACTCAACCACCAAGCCAACCAGGCATCCCCAGTGGGGGATTTTTTTGTTCTTAAAGACTCGCAAATAAAATTCTCTAGAGTTGATTTAAATATTATTCTTGCTCCTAGAAAAACTCATTGTTTTTAAATCAATAGTCCTGAGCCTTTCTTTCTAAAATTAGGGGTCTGATGTCACAAACCCACTTCCACTCATGGTAGGGGTTATGGAGAACAGAGAGCAGCCTGTATTTTGGGCTGGTCAATTAAGTTGTTATTCAAGGGGATCCCTGGGTGGCGCAGCGGTTTGGCGCCTGCCTTTGGCCCAGGGCGCAATCCTGGAGACCCAGGATCAAATCCCACATCAGGCTCCTGGTGCATGGAGCCTGCATCTCCCTCTGCCTATGTCTCTGCCTCTCTCTCTCTCTCTCTCTCTCTCTCTCTCTCTCTCTATCATAAATAAATAAAAATTTAAAAAAAGTTGTTATTCAAGAAGAAGGACCAGTTCAAGTCCATATTTTGTTATTATCATAGAGACATACTGCTGAGTCCTCTGAACCTAAGAACCAAATGCTAATTTTAGTTTTTTAAGACTTTATTTATTTATTTCAGAGAGAGAAAGAGAGAGTATGAGCAGGAGGAGGGGTAGAGGGAGAAGCAGGGAGCCCCTACTCAAGGCTCCATCCCAGGAGCTTGCGATGATAGCCTGAGCCAAAGGCAGATACTTAATTGACTGAGCCACCCAGGCACCCTGACAGATGGTAATTTTAAAGAGCAGATACTTTACAGACTGAATTATGTTACCTGAAATACCTGTTTCCTTGTGGGGTCTTTCGGTTTCTACTGGATCCAGAGTGTAAAACTCTAGCCCTTATTCTGTTTTCAGAACGATCATTGTTTATTCCCTCCTTGTTACCATGTACTTAGGTGTGGTAGACAGAATGATGGCTCCCCAAATATGTCCATTTCTCATCCCTGGAAATGCATGTATTATATTACATAACAAGGGGGAATGAAAGTTCCAAATGCAATTAAGGCTGTGGATCAGCTTACCTTAATATAGGGAGTGTATACTGAAATTTTCAGGTGGGCCCAATATAATCCCAAGGGTCCTAACATGTGGAAGAAGGAAGGAAGAAGAATCAGAGTCAGAGTGATACAGCAGAACAGGCTCGACCAGCCATTGCTTGCTTGGAAGATGGAAGGAGGCTACGAGCCAAGGAATGGTGGTGGCCTAGAGGCTGAAAAAGGCAAGAAAACGGAGTGTCACTATAGTCTCTAGAACCCTGCTGACACCTTGATTTTTAACCCAGTTAGATCCATTTTGGGCTTCTGACTTTCAAAACCACGAGATAACAAATCTATATTCTTTTAAGCCACAAAACATGTGGTAATTTGTCAGAGCAGCAATAGGAACTGAATATATTACGGTATCCATGGGACTCGGGCAGAAGAAGCAGTAGCTGGACTCAAGAGTAGGTGGCAGTGGGGAGACTGATACACAATCACATAGAAGGAACTTGAAGTCAGACCAAGGGAACTCCAGGCAAAACCTTCTTATCTCTTATCCCCAGCCATCATCTGCTTCCTGGGGGTACACGGGAGTCTGGAGCAAATGGCAACATCAAAAAAGTACATTGCGGCATCTTCTTGGTAAGAAAAAAAAAAAGATGGTGGGGAGAAATTCTGTTGTTCTGGTCCACCCCAGTCCCTGCTTGGAAAGTGGATTTGCCTCTGGTGTCCCTATGATTGCCAGCTCCGTGGGGCCAGGGTGCCTCTGATGTGGTCCAGGATAGCATCTGCAAGTCTCTCCGCTTGACCCTCTGTAGAACCACAGAGCAGATGGGCTGGCAGGGGACTGGTTTGGGTCAGACTTGCTAAGACTTCTCTGACACTCAGCTTTTCCCAGCCCAGAACGTGCAAGCCTCACCATCCCCAGCTCCGTGAGCCCTCACACCTTCAGCCAACCACTGCAAGCATATCTGCCATTCAGAGTTCGATTCAGAGCAAAAGCATCTCCACAAAGCAGGGGAAGAAGTCCTGGTCTTTAATTCTTTTCTTCTCAGCCAACATTCAAGGCATCTGCATCTCCCTGAATCTAAACCCAGTGTCATGATCTAACCCTCAAGCCCTCCTTCCAGAGAGCTTGTTCAGCCCCTCTGGACTCTAGATGACAGCCAAGCCATAGCGCTCCCTCGTGGTCAATGGGAAGAAACAGCGCCTATGTGCTTTTGTCAGGACGTTAATGGGAATTGTGCTTTGTTTTATTGAGTACAAGGGGGTACAGGTTTATGATTTGTTAGTATTAGAAGGTCAACAACTAATGTTGTCTTACTGTGGCCTAAGATGGAACCAAGAGTTAGACGTTGGAGCCAGGCCTTTGGACATGATAATGTCCTTTTTGATATTGGTAAATAATGGTGCTTAGATGTGAAACCCAATGGGCTGGCTGACACTATACTGAGTCAGAACTTAACTCATTTTCTCTCTCCTCAAAACTGCAGTCCACCTCACATGAAAAGGAAAGTTCTCCCCTAATCGTAGTGCATGTTGAGAAAACACCAAGGGATCAATCTCTCCTCTAGGTACCTGGAGGAAGGCACAAAGATGAAAAGAAATTAAAGAAAGGTGAAGAAATTAAATGAGAAATTTCCCTTCCCATAGAGAAAATTACGTAAGGAATAGGAAGGTTGAAATAGGAGTATTACCCTAGGGAAGTCTCCCAAAATGGGGAATGTGGAATAAAGTGTTGTCCCAGGAGGCTGAGTTTACATGGGGAAGATGGAGCCACTTGTCAGTGATTCTCTCCATTCCAACGACTGCTCCTTGGGTGCACTCACGAAAAACAGCTCAAATGTATCACGACAGTACAGCAATTAAATGAATTCCAAGTCCATTCTGTGCTCTCTGGTCAAGTATAAATATTCCTTCCATATTTTATTTCCCATCCTGCCATATGGTACAATGCATGCCGGAAGGTATGGGATAAAAGTAAAAAAGAACATAAAAATACTCCAGTAATACTCCAATAATAAATATTCCAATAATAAAATGACAACAAATGTCTCCATTTGATTATAAATATCCTTTACATTCAAAAAAAATTCTCCAGTTGAAATTAAAGTTTAAGTATAATATCTCTATGCCATTTAAGTTAAATACAAAAAAATTATAGACTAAGAATCTACCATTAATAAATTTTGATTTAAAATTCAAAATAGGGTGGCTTGGGTGGCTCAGTCAGTTAAGTGTCTGTCTTTGGCTCCGGTCATGACCTCAAGGTCCTGGGATGGAGCCGCATGTCGGGTTCCCTGCTCAATGGAGAGCCTGCTTCTTTCTCTGCTCCCACCCCCACTCATACTCTCTTTTTCAAATAACTAAATAAAAATCTTTGAAAAAAAAATTCCAACTAAAATTCCTTGACCTCAATCCCTGTAATTACAAATAAGAGGACTCAAATCAATCTTTCTGTCGTTATCCAAATAGTTGAGTACGATAACAACATCAACAACCTCAGTTCATTAATGTCCCAAAAATGTGGTGTAAGACACAAGGCTGGAATCTCAGAGAAGGTGAGTAGTTGGAGAGGAGAGCGTAACCGTCTCTTTGCCTTTGGGGGCATTTGTCTACTGTAACTCAGGACTCATGAGGCTGACTCACCGACCAGGGGGACAAAAATCAAAGTCCAGAATGTACCAAATGTGGAACATGAACAGACTCAATATGAAGATGAGCTAGAGATAAATTTGTTCCCTAAGTGTCTAGGCCACCACAAGCCTTGAATCCTGATGCAGGTAGCCCCAGGTTGTTTATGCCCCCATACACTTGGCAGAAGCAAAATGAAATTCTCTTTGGAGGAAGAACCATCCATCCTAGACAAAAATTTATTTCTACAAACCTAG